TATATATATATATATATATATATACATGGAAAAAGATCACGCGAATACATAATTCTCTCTAAGTACAGTTTGATAATTCACATTATAAACGCTCTCGCAAATGGAAACGAAAGTAATGTGCTATCGTTGATAAATTTTGAAATATATTATATCCGTTTCGCTGAAAATGTGTAAAGCGCGAATAAAAACGACATTCAAAAATTGCACAGGCACTCGTATAGCTGCGCGTAAAAAAAAGCGTGAAACTTCATTAGGTTTACTCATGAAGTTATCGATTGACACGCCACGATGTGAATGTGAACTCGATCAAAATCGCAACATCTCAGCGGACGATCGTTCAATAAAATCGTTGCTGCTGCATGTAGCTGCCGTATTGCTGCGACTGAGGTTGCTGAACGTAGCCTGACGGATGCGTGGCTTGCGGCGCGGCGTAAGAGCCGTAGGATTGTTGAGGATATTGGTTCGGCGGTGGTCCACCGTATTGACTCTGATTGCCGTAACCCTGATAATTATAACCGTTGTCCATGTATCCTGAATTATTGGGGAACATCTGCGGTTGCTGATAATTCGAGAACTGCTGATTGGACACGTTGGGATAAGTCATCGGCTGCGCTTGCGGCCGCGGCTGATTACTCGAGTGAAAGCCCTGATTGTAAAAGTTGGACATTTCGGTTGACGGTATGGATTCGGCGGGACTCGCTATCGGCTCGGTTTTGTCTTGGCCAGCCAGACTCGTGTGCGACTTGGGCACGTATTTGTTCGGCAGGTCGCACATAATATTGGCGATCAGACGCTTCGTTTCGTTCAGTATCGCGTTCGGATCGCTCGTCTTCGTGGCTTCCTTCTGCTTCACCGGCGACCGCGATCTCGATCGCGACCGCGATCGAGACCACGATTTCGGCGATTTCGAGAAGGCGCGCGATCTCTTGGCCTTCTCGTTATCATTCACATTCTTGTTCGCCGCTTTGTAAATGTCCTCGTACGTGTAGTCGTCGTCGTCGTCGGATAAGTCGATGGTCTTTGACTTATCGTCGCCGCCCTTTTTCGTCTGCTGCTCGTCGTCTTCGTCGTTCGCGAACATGTCCACCTTCGGTTTCCACTTATTGCCGTCGTCAACTGGATTCTGATTCATTTTACGAATGGAAAATGGGGAGATGCTCTTCTTGCTTCTGCTAATGGAGGCCTCGATCTCCGGACTCGACGATCTCGTGCTGCTGATAGCCGACACCGACGACGTCGAGACCGTCATGCCGAGATTAACGTAGTCCCTCAACTTTTCCACCTTCGTCGGATCGCTCGCCTCGAGCTTCTTCAGATAACCGATGAGACTGTGCTGCTCCTGCGTGTTCAGATCCTTAAAATTTTGCAGCTTTGACTTCAAATCGGCGTCCGATAAGCCTTCCATTTTCGGGACCTGCCGTTCCGCAGCATCGAGCACCATCAGCGTGCTCGTCGTTTTGACGGGTTCCGCCGCTTGAGAAGCGATATTGCCGCAGTTCGTCAGGCCTTTGACGAAGTCGGCGGTGGTGACGGGCTTGTCGGAGTGCTTGGACGCCTCGGCCATGCCGACAACGGCATTGATGAGAGTTTCCAGTTCCTCCTGCGAGACATTCGTTCTACCCTGCGCGATGAGAGCAGCGGCGATCTGCTGAGCGATGGCGACTTTGTCAACTGTACCGACGCCCGGCACGCTCACCGGCTCGGACTTCATGGCCGACGGTGTCATGGCCGACTCTATCGGTCTCGAGTAAGCAGCTCTACTGACGTAAGCGGGCGGCTTAGATAATTCCAGCAGTTCGCGCTCCTTCTTTTTCTTGTCCTCTTCCAGTTTCTTCTTGCTTTCGGAAGTCTTGTGCAGCAGCTTGGCAATGTTCTGTATCGCCGTTTTAGTGGCCGTGATCGCCATTTTCTCCACCATGCCGGCAAACAGCTGGCCCTTGAGCTTCTCTTTAACCGTCTCGAAGAGAACGCTCACTTCCTCGTCGAACAGCAGTTCCTCGGCGGAATTCGGTTTCGCCTTCTCGGCCGCCAAAGCCTTCGACAGAAGGGACACGATCTTAGGGCCCAGCGAACCCAGCTGTCCCTCGAGTGCCGTTAGCAGTCGCAACAAACCGACCACTTCGAGATCCTCCGTCAGCACTTCCTCCGTCACGGGCGGCGTGGGCGATTTGTCCTTCACCGGATACGGCGTCGCGTAGTATATCGGTCTGGTGCGCGACGCCGTGCGCGACACCGGCGGATAATTATGGCTGTACACGCTTCCCCTGCCGCGCGTGTACGCGGAATACATGTACTCTCGATCCCTCACCTCGTGACGGTCGTAGTACTCGGGCTTGATCATCTTCGTACCGACGTATTCCACCTCGTCGTCGCTCTCTATACGATGTCTGCCGCGCTTCGCGGGAGAGCGTTCTCGCTCCCGCTCCCGTTCCCGCTCTCGCTCTCGCTCCCGGTCTCGCTCCCGCTCCCGCTCCCGTTCTCGCTCCCGCCTCGGCTGAACCCACTTCTCAGGAGGCTTGTCCTCCGGCAATTCCAACCTTTTTCTAATCTCCTCCTTTCGTTGCTGCAGCTGCTCGTTGTGAATCTCGCGCATCCTCTTGTTCCAAAACTCAATCCACTCCGGCTTGAAGTCGTGCTTGCTCGGATCGTTACCTTCGGCCTGCAGTTCCTTGTACCGCTTGTTCCAGAACTTTTTCCACTCGTCTGGGTAAGACGGATGCTTCTCGGGATTCTTTTCGTGAAACTTCAATGCGCGATCTAGCGTCTCCTCGGCGCGCCTAATTTGCTCGCGATATTTGTCCCACTTGTCGCGTTCCCTGAGCGGCTGCAAAGAGTGCGATCGCGATCGCGATCGCGACCGACCGCGAGCACGCTCGCGCGAATGCCGCGACTCGTTGCGATACTTCCCTGTGCTTCTCTCCGCGGAACCCTTTCTTCTATTTCGACTCGGCGAACGAGATCGCGAACGAGACGGCGACGGACTGCTAGATATGCTCGAAAGCGACGAGAGCGATTTAGTGTCGTCCGACGGACGTTTCGGTGACTTCTTCACGTTCTCCTCGGGCTTCGGTGTAGTTTTACGAAGACTCATTTTATCCTTGTTAATTATGCGCATTTTAAAGCCCCTAAAATAAGAAAGATTTTTTTCTATGAAAAATATTAATAAAAGATAGAAATATTGTTAAAATATTTGCTCGAAATCTGCAAGAATTATGCTCGTCATTTTCCTCTATCATCAATCGTGTCTCTGATTTTACTGTCTTATTTACTTACGTTTTTGTAACTTCTCCTTTAGAATCTAATTTTTTAGGCAGCTTTTCCATTTTCTTGTCTTCTTTTTTGTATTTGTCATCAATCTTCTCATCAGATTGAAGTTCTTCATAGAAATCAGAGATGTAAAAAATGCAATTGTAATAATTTTGTCAGCAAAGTGTTTTGTATATTGTATAGTGTATAAAATGCAGCTTGTACTCACCTTTCTTTTTAATATTACCATTCATTTCTGCCATTTTTTCATCAAAATTTGTCACCCATCGCACATCGTAAACTTCCATAAACGTGCACTCTGGCGTTTCCCTGTATACACGAAACAACCACATTGATTTCTATGATATGTGAAATTAATAAGTACAAAAATTGGCATTAAAAAATCTTAAAATATTGTGTACAAAGATAGAAAAAAAATTACAAAACTGAAGCTCTGTTGAGCGTAAATTAAAAATTGAGAAAATCGATTTTCAAACGGTAATAACATTATCAATCAACAGTTATTTCGATTTACCTAAAATGAACGTCCTGATATACTCTCTTGATATATTGCATCTTGTTCTTTTCGAACTGAGTTTTGTCTACCAATTGCGGTTTCATTCTTCCAAACTTTTCTTCAATTTTCTTCGCCACTAACACCAATATTTCATTGGCCCCGCGTTTGTAATTTGGGGTACGCGGTAAGTCCGTAATTGCTCGCGATATGGTTGGAAAGTGTCTATTGAGATATGTGATTCGATGGTTGTAGCTGGTAATGTGGGCCATTACGGTGCGTGGATCGCCACGTTTGTCGCACAAAACACACGTGTAACTCGGTTCACAGGAATCATTGTCCACCAACTCCAGCAGATACTCGAGGCCGACGAGCGGGGAGCTTTGATGTCGATCTAAGCTCATTTGTATCGCTGTGACTCGTGTTATTTGATCTTCCATACCAGGTGGAACTGGCTCGCCAGGTGCCAGAGTGTCGCTAATAGTGGTAGACTGCACTGGTGTAATTGTCTTCAGATCCGGTCGTTTAGACCACAACATGACCGGATATGGCCATTCGTCCAGCTTTATTTTATGACGATTACATAGATTATGACTTATCAATTTATGAGCCCCAAACAAGGCAACATTACAGATATGACACCATATATCACCATCTTCGGTCTCGGAGTAAACAGGTCTGAGTGCACCATCTTCAGCAGTAACGCTGCACCGCATTATACGTTTGCGATCATATTCTTCCTATAAAACAAACGATTCCTAAGGTAGACAATCTTCCATTGTCGAAAGCTAGGCTCAAAAATGTCCATAATGACATGCTCGATGAACTGTATTGTTTTTATGGAACATAAAACGCTAAATTTGTTTATTTCAGATATTTAAACAATAATTTTGAATATTTGAACAATAAGTCTAGTTGCGTCTTGCTTTGGAAATTGTGTTTGTTTGCAAATTATAGTATACTTAATTGATGATAAGATATTCTATATTATTATATTCTTCCTACCTTTTCCTTATCCTCTTCTGATAGATGAGAAGGATTACGACCCTCTATGTCAAGATCATCAAAATTCTGCATGGTACGGCTATACAGTGGACGAAGTCTCCACAATATTTTCTGAAAATATCATTGCAAAATTTTATAAGCCCATGAAAATGATAACAACGATACATCAAGGTTGGCAAGAAATTGCTATTATCTATATCTTGCAACAATAATGATATCTAAATTTTACAAAAGTAATTTTTGTTTGTTGTAAAAGCATATATTAGAAAAGTTATACTGACAAAATAGAGATAAGAACATTTTATTCACAGATAATTGAGTTTATCTATGAGTATAGTTTTATTGACTGTATCAACCAACCCTGTAGTAGTAATTCTTGATAATCTAGTATAATAATTGACATTAATTATTACGATTTAATGGAAAATTTGAATTAGCCGTACTTACTTACCATGTCATTGTTGTATGTGCTAATTTAATTTGACCAATATAAACATTTGTGATATTATATGACCAAAGTAACTTATCAAAGTTACTTATCAAAGATGAATGTTTATCACACTTAACTTTAGAAAGTATAAATAGAACTATGAATTTGAAATATTCGATATGTGAGACACACGTGGCACAAAACAGAATACATTATTTAAAATTCAAGATTTGCATTAAGCTCCACAAATTTTTTTATAAGATTTTTTTATCATTTCTATGCAACAGTACATTTGCTACATAAGCTACACAATTCATGAGTAAATGATCATACTTGCACTTATAATAAACACAGATAAAATACAATTAACTTTTAAAATATCTATGCAAATAATAAAAATCATAATATTTCATATATGGAAAAGAATAAGGCATTTATTTTACAAACTATGATCAATAACAATATTGCTATTTGCTATCTTGCTGGAGTATATAAACAATTCTCCAGCTACTTACCAATCGCAAGAAAATTTCAGAATTCCATAAATTGTTCCACTACAAAGAAACCACAATTACCACAGAACATGAAACTGAACTGATTGAGACACAAAAGTAGGGCAAAGTTAAGACCATTTAACTTTGCCAAATTAGTCTAACTATCGAATGTTGATTGACAGTTGACAAGAAAGATATTCCGCGAGTGTTGTCGATCGCTTGCAAGGTTGCGTCTTGTAACACTCTGCGTTTTACGACGGTACGAAGTGTTATATTTTTAACAGTGTGCTCCGACCAAATACAATCAAATATGGAGAAAACGAAGGAGGTTAGATAATGTAATGACGTTTATGCCAGTCGTATCTTTGTAAAGGCAAAACGCGCTTATCTAAATAACGCAACGTATCCGCGACGAGACGCGCATATTAAAAAAAAAAAGAATTATTTCCCTGAAAGTCAGAAAAGCGCACGATTAATTGTCATTTCGAAATCTTCGGCTTTCAACGCTTTGATGTTGCTTTCGTTGCCTCCGTTATATCACGGCACTTGCGAGCATAGTTCACTTACCGTGATTACCGGATCGTCGTTTGCTTAATAAGAATCCTCGCGACTTAACTTGATCGTCTCTTAAACTCTCTCGAAAGAGAACTCTTTCCCGATCTTCAAAGTCGGAAGTGGTCGGAAGTCAAAACTTATAACTGAACGGGTGTCAGCGTGTATTGGCGTATATAGATCAAAGGTCCCTCTTCTTTCTCGAAAAAAAATAGGAAGCTTCAAGCAAAACCAGATTCTTACAAACTTACCATATAATGATAATATAGGAAAAGTTTCTCTTACCGTTGATAAAAAAAATTGTTATATTCATCAATAGATAAAACAGATTAAAGAAGATTAAAGATTTGATTACATATATACACAACGGGTTTAGAAAAATCTCAAGAGAAATGACAATTTACTTTTATCAAAATTGTAAAAACTTTTTTATAAAAAATTTAATTAAAGATTATCCTTGTTGTATACGATACATTTTGTAATGTTTATTTAAGTAATTATAGATGAATAATCTTGACTTTGATTATTAAATTAATAACAATTAAAATAAAGAAATAAAAATATCTTTTAAAGAAAACAATTTTTCTCGTACATATTTTTATCAATATCTCTGTTTATGATATGCTATTTATTAACTTTTTTTTTCTTTTTTTCTTGTTTTTCTTTTTTTTACACAATAGAATTTTTTTTAAAGGTGGAAATATCACGCAGCAAGACATGTTTATTTATAACCGTTATGACATGTCTTGTCGCTTCGATAAATATTAACCTACATATAAAAAAGTATCAGAACTTGTACGGGGATATTGTGGTCAGTAACAGGAGGGGCCCTGATGCGTGGGCCCAACACATTCGCGTGGTCCCGTTGACAGCCAGTCGGCAACTGTCTTCGGTTAGCGCGGATGTGCCTTTATAAATTTATCACACAATCACCGGGAATGCGATTTTGCGGGCACCGGTGACCTTTGCGCGATTATGCTCTCACGATTTCATGGGATATTTATCTTGTGCATCGTCACGGTAGCCAGAGCATCCTTTCTGTCGGTGGGGAGATGGAGCTGCATCTTGTGCACGCTGAATAGCGTTAGCGTGTTGCTCTCCTTACCGGAGATCACACATCAATGGTCACTCTTGGGACTGAATCTCTGGCCGAATTATGCAGCGGATAGATCTGTGCCTGACGAGCTCCTTGAACAGGATGCGGCTCGATTTTCCAGGGGTGAATATCTAAATTATTAAATCCGCTGCGGATGAAGTGGCAGAAATTGGAAAGAAAAGTGGGACTCCCTTCGTAATGTTTTCAATAATTCAAAATGTGCATGATGCTGCTAGCGTGACATTGAATGTTGTAACGTTAACAATCATGTTACCCTTTAAACTGAAGGAAATTGAAGAAAATTTCATGTCACCCTGCTGGCATTCTCAGTTTGCTACTGTCTTATTTTCTAACTTCAGCAAAACAAATGAAAACACAAACACTCCTGACGGTGCGTGAAAAAATTCTGCAAACTGTGTAAACTTCGTATTTAAATACATATAACAGATAATAAATTGTAAGATGGGTGTTTAGCGAGTGATTATGCAAATGTTATTTACTGATTCTCAATCTCATTAGCGCCGAGTTACCTCTTCATTCCTTGTCAGCTTAGACACGTGCCGTTATTTCTTTTGCTTTTAAGGAAGCGCGTGTAATATGCTTTATTGATTATTGTTGTAATGGAATTAATTATTTAAAAAACTTTACAAAAATTTTACAAAAATTATTAGAATAATGTAATATAGTTTTTTTACGATTTTTTGAGAAATGTAATATATATTAAGAAATATTTAAGCGCTGCCATTTAAATAAAATAAAAATGGACTCCAAACTTTTTTTTACAATTTTATGAATTTTTATATCATATGTCTGTAAGAGTCTACTGGAATTTGATTTACTTTATATTTGTTTACACTTTTTTTCATCACAGTGGTAAAATAATTTCTGAAAAATATTATATGATTAGACAATCGACGCAAACACATGGAAATTTCTCTGCATACTGATTCGCGTTTATCCGCAGTGTTAAACTTCTTTCCCGTTCCGGTCGAGGAAGAGTGCCTGTCGCAGGACAAACGACGTCAGGGAATATGCATGAACACATATGAGTGTCGTATTCAGCGAGGAGAATCCCACGGACCGTGCGCACTCGGATTCGGCGTGTGCTGCATATGTGAGTACACTTGTAATTCGTGAATGCGCGCTCTTTAATCATAAAGCAATATCACACAACTTATTCGGAATATTTATGAGCGCGTTGAATTATTCCGATCGAAAGAACGGCGCTTCTGAAGCTCTTTTTAATAGTTAACTTGTATTATATACATTTCCAAATATTTGGAAACGTGTTATTTAAATGTTATTTTATTTTTCAACACTTGATCTTTTCTACATGTAATCACTCTTGGCTATAAATATGTGTTTGCAAATTTTTATTTAAATAATTAATCGATCGTTGTTTACATAAACTTTCTTATTTAAATGATTCGTTGATTATTTTTCACACAAGCATCTTCTTCGCGCAAATATGTTGTTAAATTGTCTCAAAATACAGGTAAGAAGTGTACTTTTAGTTAGGGGATGCGTTTATTTTTAGCGTCTAAAAATAGGTGTGACTTTACAAGCGCGATTTTCACGTCCGCATCATCGGTCCGATGCCGAAACGATCGATGCTCTTCTGCTTAGTTTAACGGTATTGAGATAACCGGCTGTAGCTTCGATCTTAAGCGGCGCGCTCTCCTCGATAGCGTGAAAGGGAGCATTCGGTGAAGTAAGAAAACAAGGAGAAACGGCATGCTTACTGTGTGAGCTCGCGCGATGAGGAAGAACTTGGAGGCCAAGTTATACAGTTACTTAATTGCCTTTCGGCACGGTCACGAACACCGGCGCTGCATGGGGCCCGACTGACCCATCCGTATCTCTCGCGTCTTATTTTTACGCGCCTTTAAAATTCGCGAGTATGGCGTGCGGCAGCTGTATTTTCCGGTGGAACACTCTGCATTGCAAATATTCCTATCACATAACTGAAGGAAATTATCTTCTTTTTCATCACACGCTCCAAACGTTTCATTCTAAACTTGCACATCTTATGAATGTATTATGCATGCTTGCTATCTTCTTAGCGTTATTTGTGATTTTCAAAAAAAAAAATATAAGTAACACACATTAATATGCGGTGTCTGTCGTTATCATTTCTGTTGGCGCTTGATATTTTAATTGTCCTGAAATTTTGATCAATTTATTCTCAAGTTTAAAGACGCTTTTTCCTTTCACAACTCTTTTTAATAATAAATTTCTTGTGAATTTGAGTCCAATTTATAAAATCTATTTAAAGTTTGCTAAAAGATAAGTATCATCGTGCATTTCTAATCTGGAAATTTAGTTCGTTACATTGCTTTAATTTTCGATATTAGGCTTAATAACTTCTTAATTGGCTGCCGCATTAAATATTCGTTAAGGAAAGGTCAACTGGAAATTTGTAAGTAATGTATCATTTACAGTGATTACAGCGAAACATTTTATACATTATAAGCAGATAAATTTTGTTTATTTCAACTAATTTATTTCATATAATTAATCGCTTTGGATTTTCGGTTCGTTATATAATTAACATTATTAATTTTTTTTGAAAAAGAGAGTATTTATTAAAATTTTTATTTTTGGCATATATTTTTCAATTTTAATTAAGTTTTGATCAAGATAAGTATTCCCGCTTTATTTTATGCCGCTTCATGAAATTTAGGTTCTATATAGTGCGGAAAAATTCTTGCTAACCCGAGCCCGTTTTTCATCTTCTATCTCTCTTTTATAAAGTTTCTCGTCTACTTGTTCCTCGTTGCCTTTTTATCCGGTCTGCATCCACTCGCTTTTTCTGCCACGATGCTATGCACAGTCGAAAACAGGGCCACACCGTACGTACGGATTCTTGACCGATTTTCCAAATACCACTTCCTACCGTCCGCATGCTTTCCGATGCATCTCGGATCTCCGAGTTTTATCATTAACGTATCACGAACGCTTTGTTCCATATAATTGAGTGTGAAATCTTTTGCGCAATGTTAAAAAGAAATGGCACACGTGTACTTCGCATGGATTCAGAAGCGAGTGTGTTTGTGCGAAACGTATATTATATATAAACCTGATCTTTTTATGATAAAAAATATAGATACGATTTTAACATAAAAGTAAAACTTTCCACGATAAAAAAGTGCACTTTTTAAATTCCGATTTTTTTATTTCTTTTTTTCAACGTCTCTCTAAAAATTATTTTCATCTACGATACAAATTATTTATATTTAAATTTTACTTTTTAGAATTTGTTTTTGTTATAAAAATTGTGCGCTTAAAATATTTAAATAATTGCAACATTTTTAAAAAAAAAGTATCTATTATTAAGTTGAAAATTTTTTAATATACTCTACACTGCATTTTTAAATAAAATCTTATATAATGCATACGCACATAGGATACATTTGCAGTAAAAGCGTTGCGTTTTCGAGCTTTGAATTAAACGCTATCTCTGTCTCTCTTTTTTTTTTTGTACTCTTTTCATTGAACCGTTGAATGCATGTTGTCGCACATTATCCCGTTGGCAACGTTAAGCTGTTGCATTCCCCCCTGCAACAGCGACATGAAGCGCTCATACATTTTTTATATTGTCCATCAAGTTGTTTTCCCGCCGTGGGAGGAAGTAAGATCTACATGTAAAGGCAGTAAACCGTTTCTTCTGGCCGGCGAGCTGCTGAATAGCGTCCCGAGATTCTAAAACGGTCACTGAATACCTGAATGAGAACTCGTTATCGAAACCGGAGGCTGCTTGCGAGAATATCGCACGGCAACGCCTATAGTGGTTGCTCCATGAAAGTGTTATCCGCATTTAATCCGCAAGACATCTACGCGGATATGAATTTCGTCAAACAAGAAATTTCGACCGAAACTCCGAGAAGAGTTTTTTTTTTCCTTCATTGCAATTCATAGCAATTATAACATACTCACGGATCTGAATTTTATAGACCAAGTTTAATTAATTGTTCTCGGAAAGAATATATTATTTCATGCAAAGAAGCAATAGAAGTATGCGCTGAATATTTCTTAGAAAAGTCAGTCGGTTACTAGACTCAGCTGTCTGATTTCTCATATAAACTTTCGAAGGTTAACAGCGTTATTTTTATAATACTTCAGTTTTAAACGCGAATCAATTTATTTTATTGCATTAATTCAATTCCTTTATTCATGAGTCGCGAGTGTATTTTTATATTTTAATGAACTTGACGAGATCAACGTTGGCTTTTGCATTTCGTCTACTCGCGCTAAGCATAAATGCGATCCCATGAAATTATACGCGATGCCGCGTCGCCGCTCCGTGGCTAATTAAATATTTTGAAGTGTATGAAATGCGAAGCGCCACGTTGGCGCGGGGCATTTCGTTAACTGTGTCAGCAATTAATATGGTTTTCAGTCACGGCAAGCTGCGACAATGAGGTACAAAATAATCTGACCTACGTGACCAGTCCTGGTTTTCCCAACCTCATCGACCGGCCTATGAACTGCTCTGTGGTTGTACGGAAGATCGATACGGAGGTCAGCCAGTTGAGGATCGACTTTGTCCATTTCAACATTGTAAGTTTCAGGGATGACTTATTATTACAACGTTAGAGCTGCAGAGAATAACTAAATTGCAACTGTCGATTCCCGCCTGCTGTTTAGCGCATCTAATATTCCACAAGTTGCCAAGACAATGTCGATACTAACACGATGTGTAAATGAAGCTGATGTCCTTCTCGAAAGACTGTGACAGTGTTTACTTCTTATATCACTTAGAAATCAGCGCTCAGTCGATGTATTTGTAAAACACACTTTTTTAATTAATACATGTAAATTTTGCACAAATATATCTTTAGCGTACAATACGGAGTCAGAATATTGTTGTAATAAGAAAAAGAAAAAAAGGACAGAAGAAGGTGGTTAAGTAATTAAGAAATAGAGATTACACTCAGCATAAATGTGAGAAAACTTCTTCGAATTAACGATGCGCAGCAATATTATAGAAGTACTGAGCACTGAGAAGCATTTTATAATATTTAAATTGATTGCTTTTTTTTACACATACACAATTACGCTATTGGAAAAGACGTAAATTATCAAATTGAACAATTATTAATTAGAACTAATACAAATATCATTTTAGGGCCAACCGAATGCAATAACCGGTACGTGCGACGAAGACGTCATGGTGATTAATAACAGCAGGACATCTTTCGAATTGTGCGGATGGAACAGTGGACAGCACGGTGAGAAATATTACACGCTTCCACCATTAATCACTTCACGTGTTATAGCTTCGCGTGGAATCAATCATTAAAATTTCATTTCTGTTTTGCGCGGAACCACTTTGAGCACAGTATTTCCTCGGCAATTTAAATAGCACGCGTTGCTTTGTATCTTGATAGTGTACGTGGACGCGAGCGAAGGCAACGAACCGATCACTTTAAACTTCCGGCTGCCAAGCGGACTGCAGTCACGAATGTGGGAGATGCGCGTGGTGCAATTGGGTTTCGAGCAACGCGCGCCAGTCGGGTGTCTCCAATACTTTCGCTCGCCGAACGGCACGCTAAGGACATTCAATTATCTGCCGAACGGCAGATACCTCGCGGAACACGATTACCTATTATGCGTGCGTCAGGAAAGGGACATGTGCGGCATCGCTTATCAGCCCTGCACGCGAGACTCTTTCCGAATAGGACCTAATAGGTTTCAAAATGTGTCCAACACGACCGGCGCCGTAGCGCCTGCAACGAACATCGGGAACGCTTCCGCTGTCAGTCCAAGCGTTTCTTCGGGACTTACGTCGGCGAATAATTCCGACGCGGACGCCGTCGAAGGATCGGGAGCAGGCTCGCCCGAAGGACAGGAAATGATTTTTACTTCCAACACGAATGTGGTGTCTTCTCTCGGCAGGCGATGCAGAGACCGGATACTTATTCCCTGCGATTTTGAAGAATTTATCACAGTAAGTTCAACTTTAATAATTCTATACGCTAAACAATGTTAAATAAATATTAAGTCGATCGGAAAGTTCCTTTTTCGCCTTTTATCTTGATCGAAAAATTTGAAGAAACTTTCCGATCAACCCGACACGTTTAGTTGACAATCCCTATTGTATAATTTAAAATAACGATATTAATTTAATTTATATTCAGCAAATTGTAAATCTTAGTTCCAAGCAACTGTGTGACAATGCCGAGGCAAATGAATGATAACAGTTAACAAGCTGAATTGATTCGCAATATCATTTTGTATTTACTGAAACGTGTAATTGGTTCAAAAAAAGAAATCTTTTTGTTTCCATACTTTTATTCCAGCGTATCGTCGACAATTTTTACCTTGTTATTACGTCGTAATTATATATTATCACTGCGATGAGAACGAATGTCTGTTGCAGCCGGGCAACAACATGGCAGGCATCTGCAATTTGGAGCATTGCGGCAATTCGCTGTGCAGCCAGGATGAACTCGACGCGGAGGGCAACTGCCGAGTGGAGGCCTGGACTACGCCCTTCCGCGTAAGGGTGGCGTTTGGTCCTGGCGGTAACACGGACGGCACGCTGGAAGACAATGCCGGCATGTGCCTCACGTACCAGCAGTTAGCTTGCGTAGCCTGAGTGCGCAATTATTTTACTCCCCGCGAAAGAGGTTTCACAACGCGCGGAGCGACAGATCGACCTATAAATGTCGTCGACGGCGTTTACTCTTAAGGCATCCTTGACTGTATAAAGCATTGTTTCTGTAAGATTGTCTCGCGCGCTTCTGCGAGATGAAATATATTTATTGCGCCACTGTTTCGAATATCTCGCATTTTTTCACACCTGCGATTTCTCCCTCTTGAACTGCAAATTGACGGAAGTCGTTGACTGGGCGGGGAGGCTTGAATGCAAATGATGTCACAAAAAGTCAAAGAGTCAAATAGTTTTTATTTACAAATGAACTAGCTTAAATCGTAAACGCAGCGCACAACTCTCGATACAGTGATAGATATATAATTCGCCTTTGTGTCCCGCTTTTTTTTTTTCTTATTCTGATTCGATTACTCATCATGATCATCGGCCGCGATGCGCAGTGTTGTTCAATCGCGGGTTATTGATTTCTTCGTCGAAATATCTCGGGTGTGAGATCAGCGGTGTAACGCTTATATATCTAATATACTATATATATAACGCGCAATGGTGATTCTCGCTGCGGAAAGTGCCGACGACAATCACGGCAATCGTTAGCGATAACGATAATGACGTTACAAGAATAAATTATAATGTCGTTAATATAATAATGTCAACGATGACAACATTACTTTGAATTGCTCTCCTAAAAGAAACACGCGTTCGTCGTCTCGCCTCGAAGAAGTCAGATTTGCGTCGAGTCCTCCTTCTTATATAAGTTAACCCGCATACATATCTATATGTGTCGTATATAACAACTCGTAATAATAATGATAATAATAATACGGGAAAATGATAATAACGAGATTAGCGACAATACAATTGAGACAACTCGACGACAGCGGTGAGCCGTCATCGGCGACGTCGGTGTCGCACGACTCGAAATCATACGCATCTATCTACGAAGTTAAGAGGGTTCGTTAAATATAGCGTAAGAGAGAGAAAGAGAGAGAGAGAGCGGTGGTCGCGACGAACGTGTATGCAATTGTGTACGTGATTGCGCGTGTTTTTCCCGTATATGGTCACTTGGTGCGAGGGGCACACGTTTCTGTCCTAATACTCTACCGATACAATTTTCGGATATCCATGGGGAGTTGAATCTGCGGAGTTCTGAGGCCATACTTGAAGTAAATCTATGTAAAAATAATTTTCAATATTTTTGTAACAATTTACGAAGCGAGAATAATTCATTATTATTATTTCCTTTAATTAACTTCGCTATCCTACGCTCAAGATGTATTATTTCGCGCGATAATTTTTCGCGAGAGTAAATCAAACGTGTGATGGATCTGGCAAATCAATCAAGCACCCCCATCGCATCCGATTTGAGCTACGTGTTCCCGAGAAAACTGTCGGACGTTCGTCGTTGTATTTACATCGTCGAGTGATACAACGGAGCACTGTACAATTCGTGATGATCGTGGTGTGCGCAGGTAACGCGAGAGCAAATGACAATGCGGGTGAGGTAATATTAAATTCAAGATGCCCGAGTACCCGCCCGAAGCTTTGGGACATCGGAGAACCCCGAGGGCCGTTCGAATTGCGATGCATCCGATGCGAGCAAAATTCGGATGTTCAAAGTTTTTCACACTATATTTCGGTGATTTTTCGTAAATTTCTTCGAGCGTTTAAAAAACTTATTCACACACACACATAACAAAATCTCTCATATAATGCAAGATTTGTTTTTTATATTCTTGTAGGGAAAGTTGTTGAATAATCTGAGCAATTATATTCGACATCGGAATATTCTCGCGCGCTGTGAAAAATGTTCCGACTCAACAAATCGTCTGTCCGATTTGCAACTTTAAAGATTCTGGTCGAATCTACCAGAATTCCTGTTAACGCGACAAGATTCTGGTGGATTCAACAATTTGATTACAAGCTAACCGAACCAGATTCTGTTTAAATCATCGAACAGACGGTTTGTTCAGTCAGCCGGAACATTTCTCTCAATGTGCATCCAAAACTTCTGCAGATACTCCGAGTTATAATCAATTGTCATCCGAATGTCTAGTGAAAATTCGGATGCGACTCTACTTGTATCCGCGCAACCTGCGCATCCCATTGTTATAATTAACCGACACTACGTATTAGAAAACCTGGTATTAGAAAACCTGGACTTCCACCCTTGATCCGGGAAGTGGACAACAGCAGAACCAACGGAAAACGCGTTTGAAAAAGGCAACGAGAGCCCCCAGTCGATTAGGATTGCCAGATCTTTTAGACTGTATATATTCGACGGACATTCGGACATTCGTGAAGTTGCGCGATGTGAAGCAAGCCCGGGGCGCTTCAGTCACGAGCAGACGAGTGAAATACATACCACTGACAAAAGCAACGATTAATCCGGTGTAAAAATCAACGCTCTGCCGCGCATGCAGGCTGGCAAGTGAGTAATCAGCACTTTCTGTATTTCGACTAGTCCACGGTGCGAGAGCGTGTTATCACAGCTCTGCTTACGTCAAGGCTTTAAAGTGGGACACTCGATACGAGAGCCGGGACGCGAAAAAGTACGTCTGCGTCGGGACGACGATTTCTGCGGAGATCCGGATATCCGGCAATCCTACCCGGTCAACGTAAAAGCGTAAGGAGCGAACGTGATGGTAACCGCGTGCGGCAAACACACATTATTGTAAATTATGCTAATGCTTACTGGCCGTCACGAAAAGAGTGGGTGACCACAAGACGTCGCTACCAATGGTGCAGCACTAGAGCAACAAATGTGTGTGTGCATGTAAGTCGCACATACACACGGGTCTGTACACACACTTCGCTTTCTCGTCTTAAAAATTGTTGTGCGTGCGTACTCATTGTACCCGTCGCCGATATGCATTTTCTGTTTTTTTTTTTTCCCTTTTTTCCTCTCTTTTTCTTCAGTACTCCCTCCTTCCCCCTTCCCCTCTCCATTTCTGGTCGTTTTTTGTGTTTTTAGATTTATGAGCCACTCAAGACAGGGGAAAACGTCTGCAATTTCGATCGTCCGATGACTCTAAGCGCGATTATCATTCGTCGGAGAAAAGTGACGTTCGTATTACTCTATTTTACTCTAACTTTCATCCCAGAGCTTGTTCGATAAAATGAAAATCACTTTCGGCGACTGAGAGTCGAACAACAATGCTTTTGCGTTTCTTTGAAATTTAATAAAGATTTGTCGCTGCATCGGGCAATTTACGAAACATTACGGATCAAACTCTTATCGGTTTAAAACGCTTCGCCACGAGGAGGAGAGCCGAAAGGATCGTGAGAATTCAGCTGGACATTGCAATACAGCACGGAGGATAATTCTTTTAAGTGCAGATGCATGCGCGCTCGAATTCATGCGGTCGGTTTTCTCGCAAAGATTGTCGCGCAGGAGGAAAGAGGAGGAACATTCGCGGAGTCTCCAGCATCGATCTAATGCAAGCGTCGCGCCGCCTTTCTTGCTTTCTTATTTCAAGTCAACAGTGTTGAATATTGTAACATGCATGCGAGCATTCCGTGAGATATACATGTGTGTGTGTGTATGCGTGAATGTGCTTGTATTGCCGGCACGTGGTAGAGTCTAGTCAGGGTCGAATTATGGCTGGTTTCCACTTACAGGGCTGCGATAACGATAGCGCACTTGATGTGCCGTGTCACAAGAATATCGCGAACATGTTATTTTCACTTCAGTAATACGCAAGCAACTATTTGCATCCGCTTCGATTTACGCGCAGTTGAATTTAAGTGCAAAATACATTTCGATTCTTCTGTTGCCTTCCGTTTCTCTCGCAAATGATTTTCTAGACGCACAGGTTTGAACATACTCAGAGCCCGTGGCTTTTATGTGAGAATGCACGCCACAAAGCGGCTGCAGAGCGGGATACGCAAATAAAATACTATAAAATAAATTTTATTTTACACTCTAGTTGCGCTAATCTGAATATTTTTTAATATTTCCGGTGCACTTTGTATTTTAATATTTGAATACTTTAGACATTATTTCCAATTTGGTTTTTGACCTATTTTATTTCTCCCGGCGAATATAGATACTTTGAATGTATTATTTGTAAACTAAAAGGAGAAGTTGTGGAAAGTACGATAAATTAATTTGGAGCGCTAATACATCTGACGTTGCTAATGGGAGGAAATTCATGCGGCGCAGTCGTTCATTGATATTCTGCACCATTAGCGAGTTGTGCCGAGAATAAACATTAATTTTCCTGTACATTTTTCTCAGAGAGTTGCATTCAGCTTGGTGTAAGCAGCATATATCACGGATTCCACCGACAAAGCGGTAAAGACGTAATGCAGTCAGCGCAGCCCCGAGTGTGAAAACCAGTCTTTAAGGCACAAAGAATCGGGGCAATTGTGAGCAGCGAGCAAACTCAAGCCGATAGCACTGCAGATAAATGAGAACGAAAGTGTAAAAACGCTCTTTCATCGTGAGAAATTATTCGTATATCTTATTAGGCACGACCAAAGGGGGGGGGGGATGACACGTATTCGACTTCAAGTGTAACGCGCGAATATCTCCGAAACGGTTCGAAAGGATTCTTTTTATGCGGAAAAATTGAGAGTTCGCGATGTACATGTTCGTGTGCGTATCTCCTGCATAGCGATCAAATGGCTTAATTAATAGATTCAAAGATCAAAAGATCAGGTGTGTTGCACGTGATTGTGCTGTCGCGAATCGGAGATTATTATCCGTTCGCTCTTCTAATGGCGATTTTTAAACAAACCTAAAATATTTCGAGCTAATAAATTTAAAATTAAATTAAGGAAATAAACGTTATTCAACATTTTTTTAATGTTGTCTCATCTAATCAGTCATATCTGTCGTAAAAAAAAAAACAAACAAATTCTCTTCTCGCGCAGGCATTCGAGCTTAATAATTCTTATTTTAGTTAATAATATGTGTCAACTTGACCTCCGACTATTTAAATGTTAATTCACTCTCTTTATTTATGTCAGCTGAATTTGCATACTGGATTTATTATTCATACGTAAAAATTTTTATAATATGAATAATTTTTATCGTTCCTCTAAATATACTCTTTTTTTTTTTTTGTAACGACACACGCTTCCGTACGAATGCAATCGTGTTATTTTGCGCGATGGGACATTCATCGTCAACGACGTATCAATCTTTTTTCCAATCACCACGCTGTTGGCATAAGAAGATTCGATACAGCTTAGAAAACTTAAAAATTACACGCGGATACACATCGGGCAGTAATTTTCATTTATTGTAAAATGACACGCATATAGAAATTTGCCATTTGAATTTCTAAATTACGTCATTCGAATTTCCGAATTTGAAAGTAATCTTATCTCCAACGTTATCATTTGTGTTTCAAGCAGATACGTATTAAGAGACAAGATCGACGAGAATACGAATGGTGAGGGAAAATTTTCGATCGAAATAGAAAGCAACAATAATCGTGAATAAGAATCAGGCACTTGGTGTATAAACATGTTCGATACCATAGCGCCGTATAAAACTTAGTTATAAAATAGACAAGTATGTATAAAAGTAACTTTACGATTGTGCGTAATAAAATATTGGTGTTATAGCGTATGCCAATATTATAGTTACGAAGAAAGACGGTGGTGTTATTTTTTAATGTCACACTAAAGCAAGACGTTTTAGCCGAATTTGCCGTGCGCGGGACATGATATTAATCTAACGATTTAGAGTCTTACGTTTCAATGATGTCTCTTGCAGTCTCATTCATGCTAATGTCGGATGTCATCGATTTTTGATCAGCGATCGAACCAAAGCAAGACCGACCGTACAAATACAACTACTTAAAGCTAGCCGTCGTCAAATTTCTGACAAGTAATGTTAAAATTTTGATCGATAAGTGAATAATTGTCCGAAAATGAAGTCGGAACAAAAGCACGTAGGGTGCGATTAATTTTGTCGAAGAAGCGACGATTGTCTGCAAAGTGTCCGCCGACTGTTCGCGAGAGCTGTACACACGATCGCACATGTGTGTCTATGATATGCTTTTGTCGTCCCTTTCTGCGTCCCTTCCTACTCCCCCCTCGCTTTCACAGGCACAACAGATATATATGACATAGAAAGAGACGCTCACAGCTACTGTTAGACGAGCTGTATTATACTCCGAGCTTACTCCGCGCGCGAGGGCTAAGAACGAACGAGGGAAGGCTGTTCTTTACCGCTGATATTACGGATGATATCTCGGTTAGCAGGGGAGGGTAGAGGAGCTCATTGGATTGGTCCCGGCGATATTCACGGTGCGCAAAGTGACACAGTCCCGCATCCTCACCGCATCCAGCAGTTAAAAGTCGCCCCGTCCGACTCGCATTTACAAATTTCATTTTAAATACAGATGTCCGTCCACATTTTCACCACGCATTTAGCGCCGGCGTCGATATTAAACGCGGCTGGGTGATTCCGAGCTTTTATCACTCGCCCGACATAGAGTTTGCGTGTGCAATATCGGCGCAAAGAGAGAATCAGACAGCCGCATTTATCGCCGAATATGCGGTGAGAACGCGGATTTTCAGGATCAGGCAAAACACATTCGGATGCTAAATCTGCGGTGAGAATAACAGTCGTACGCGGTGTATACGTGTTTCACACGAATGTGAAAATCTATGATGAAGGGTGTATCGAGGATACGGTGCGTCTATCTCAGCTATAAAACAAGCTGCAGCGCGGGGATGCAATTTCCACTGTCGTTTATTCGATTTGCCGTTTACACGGAGCCCCGCACGAAAACACCGACGAATAGAAATAACGTAGGCGCGCGATATAGACACGGCGATTGCTAGAAGATAGGACGAGGTTCTTTCCGCAATGATTAATCGATTTTTTTTTAAATCGGGGTGATGTGTATAGACCAAGCGATGATATCGACAATGGCAAACGTATATAGCTGTAAAGTAACAAAGCTATAGTAACAAAGTTTACGTCCCCGTTTCTACTGTGCGCGCATATCCTCTTTGCCACAATGTATCTTAGATCATCGTCTACCTTAAATTTAGAAGCCATGGGTGATGCGATGTTTACGTGAGTCACGAACGCGGTGGTCTGGTGGACGGTATAAGACATTCGGCTGCACTCTTGTGGGATATTTTCGTTTTACACTTGCCTATTAATCGCTATACACAGAACGACGAAATCAAAGGCGTAATTTCGAAAAAAAAAAACAAACAAACAAGGGAAACGGAGACAAACACAAAATGTCAAAGACATTCTCGCGTCTTTCTACCTCTACGAAAATGTATCCGTAAATAGTATTCGTAACAATATTTAGTCGAAATTACTTATATCGTTCAGCTAAGAAATGCTCGAAAAGAGATTACGTGATTATTTTCGTAGCAAATATTTACAAAGAACACATATATAGATGAGGAATAATAAATCACGAAAGTATAAAGTTTCGTCTAGCGAAAATTATTCATGTATCGTGGCGTTTATATATCAAACGTCAAAGCGTGAAAGAAAAAGATTAGATAAAACTTGTCGAATGAGAAAACTGCCTCGACGATATATTAATGTCGACGCATCGATTTCGTTTATTCGCTATCAATGAAATGCATTATCCTCTCTTTTTTTTTCTTTTTTTCTTTTACGAATACGAATATTAAAAAATACAAATTATGAAGCGAAGGAAGGAGGAAAGTTTTCTACTTGCTACACAAGTTTCTCCTTGACTCTCTACACAATCTGTCTATTTAGATCGATAGTTGGCTCGTGGTATAACCGTCGAGAGATTCTCGCAATTCACTTCTTTTTTTTTTTTAAACCTGACGGTATATATACAATGTTATTTGGAATCTAGAATTAAGCGGAAAATGGAGGACGCACGTCTGCCGAGCCGTGTCCCGGATGGACGCGAGTCCCTTCTCGTCGGGCAGAGCTCGCGGCAGTTGTCCTCCTGTTTCTATTAATTCTACATTCTAGATAAATAATAGATATACCCGTTGCGGCCGTGTGTGTGTGTGTGTCTGGTGACAGCCACCGCACAAGACTTTTACCGTGTTCCGGTCGGATCTCAGCCGCCACGCTCGCCGGCAGTGTTTACTTTGCCCAAACGTTGAAATCGGGCAATAGAAGCCGTGACCGCTTCGATGCAGCGAGGTATTGTTTAACGCGTTTTGTTTTTCTTTCTCCTTCTTTTTTTCCTCTTTCCAAAGCAACCCTAATTAAAATTACGGACTTTACAGGACAATCTTTGATTAAGATGTACACGCCGCGCCGTTCGCTCCAAAATAATTCCGACCAGTGAGAGATACCCACGTCTGAGCGCATCTACGACAGCGCTAAATGGTTAATCCAAACCTCCGGCTCTCTTGGTCCCGTTGGTTCGTAGGTTACAATTCCTCCGGTCCTCCTCTGCAACCCACCACACGAGAAAGAAAAGAAAAAGAGACACTAGAGATTGGCCGGTTTGATCGATGCTTGAGATTCACGAAGTCGCGAGAACTCGGCTGATTTTCAAATCATTTTTCCGTCCTTTGTTCATCTCGCGTTTTATTCACCATCTCATCTACTAACGTAATAAAGATTGATATAAATTTCAATACGTCTGATTTATTCTTGTCAAAGCTTTAGATGCATTTTTAGACTCTCGAGCACGTTGTCAATTTTTGCGATATTTATATAGACAGATGCCATTTTCGAAGATATTGAGATTCCTACTTTGCGATACGTTTCTCGTAATCCGGTTGCACGTCTAAGATTTATCATTCTGAATTTTTTTAAGCGCAATTCTCACGTGAAATGAAAACTAAGTAATACAGAAAGGTGAATTAATATTCAGCGATGTAATATCTGAATCTCGCGTTTCTTTTTATACCTATTCTTATATGTATTCGATAATTATATGTTAAACATGTATGCATGACTGTGCGTGCTTTCTGCTACAAGATTTTATTTTATATTTTATGCATGACGGCGGTAACACGCGAAATTTGAATTTGTTAGTATAGATTGTTTAAAGAGATTATTTAGATACAGAACGGAAACGTAAGTCATTCTTAATCACGATTGTATAAATTGCGATATTTTTTTAGTTTGCATTATTTGCAATCTTATCTATTAACGTAATGGAGAATGATGTAAAATCAGAGATCAACCTTTTTTTTTTCATAGCTTTTCTTCGTCTTGAACAGCTTTTAGATAAGTTATCTAAAAGTCCAAATCGCGTGAGATGCGGTCTTTCGTGAAAACATAATAAAACAAATACGAGCGAATAAAATATACCGCACGAACGGATATGATAATCTGTGACTGACAATTAAACAAACGTATCCCGGATTCAATTAAGCGCGTTTGTTCTCCGCAAATAAATTTCGAACAATTATAAATTTGTTAAATTGATGAAGGAGCGTAATGTCGGTGATTAGAGAGGAATTAAAGTTTTCGTATTAGATTACGGCACACGAGTTAAATTGATTGCAATGCCAATTACGACAATATCTCAATCTTTCTTTCACGCACACATCTCGTATACATCTCCGATTTAGTACGTCGACGAGAAGGAGAGATAAATAAGGGAAAGGCTCGAGAAAGCTCACGAATCGCAGAGAACAGCTTTGCAACTGAACGCGTTCGAGTTACCTGATTTCGTGGCGAATGGATCCTTCGGATGATTCGTCTTAATGGCGTTCATTCTCCGATTCTGCGGTCCTTGGCCGCCACCGGTGCACCCGACGCCGGGCGTTTGGCCCATGCCGAGGCCGTGGGGCCCAGTGGTGACCGCGCCCCCACCCGACTGCAAGTGCGACATTTGCTGGCCGCAGCCCGGGGGCCCGGTTCCGGGCCCGCCGGCTGTACCAGGCGGCGCACCGGGTGCCCTCACACGTGGTTGCTCCACCGGCAGTACTCGGCGTCTCTTCTTCGGTAGCTTGGCTCGCGCCTGCGTGTGACTGTAATACATTGCAAAGTTGCTAACGATCACGGGCACGGGCAGGGCGATGGTGAGCACACCGGCCAGCGCGCAGAGTGCGCCGACAAACATCCCAATGTACGTCTTCGGCACCATGTCCCCATAACCGACGGTGGTCATCGTCACCAGGGCCCACCACAGACCCAGTGGTATGCTCTTGAAGTCGTTTTTCGGATTGTACTGAGTACGCTCCGCGTAATACACGAGACTAGCAAAGATGACGATGCCGAGTACCAGGAAGAACACCAGCAGCGTGAGTTCCTTCGCCGATGCGCGGAAAGTCTGTATCAGGATCTTCAGGCCCGAGGAGTGGCGCGTGAGCTTGAACAGCCTCATTATACGTATGATGCTCAAGAACTCGAGGATATCGGCGTTCTCCAAGTGGGCCGCGAACCGCTGCAGCGCCAGGTCAACGTAGAAGCTCAGAGTCGCCACCATGTCGATCAGATTCACCGAGCTCTTGATGAAGTCGCACCGATTCGGGCTCGCGGTGATGCGTATCAGGAACTCGAGGGTGAACCAGGCGTTACAGATGCATTCGATGTAGAAGAAGACGTCGTGGGCGTTGGTGCGGGTTTTGTCCACCACCCATGACGTCACGTTGTCAGTCTTTACCGAACGATTCACGATCATCGGCACTCGCATGTCCGGATGGGTTTTCAAGCAGAACGAGAGTATCGAAACGCAGATGAAGAAAACGGAAATTATGCTGATTATCTGAAACATTCAAACGTACAGTGTGATTTGTAAATACTCGAAGAAATATTTCAATAAAAGTGATTAATGTGTGTTGTTTCAAACTTGCGAAAAGTGAAAATTATGTGTGTGTGTGTGTTGCATAAAATTAAGAGAGATCTTTGTATTGTTTTGTAAAACAGCTATCAAATATTTGCTTCGAATTTTAACGATTTTTGTGCAACAATGATGCAGCATTCTCGAGATTCGTATTATTCCACTGAAATGATTGAATCATTACCTTAGCTGTAACAGAGGAGTAGGGTTCATCGAAAAGTGACCACATCTGAGGCTTGAGCTTCTGCCACCGAGTTCGAGTTCCTTCGTAATACGCATCCTCGAAGCCGAATTTTCTCGCGAGTTCCTCTTCGGTGGGTTTCTCGGTGTCGAGGTCCAACCTGTCGAGGACCGTCAGCGTTTCCTGCGTATCCCGGTGCTGCAAGGGCGTCGGGACGAGGGGGTTGGGAAGAGAGAGAGAGATGCAACAACGATTGTTATTCGTACCTGCGAAACTCTTTCTCGAGTGTGCTTTTTTTGTGCTTTGCCTTGAGACAGATAAAGCGCGCGTGAAAAGCATACGCGAGCCGTTGCGTGCCTCCTCGCGAGTGAAAAAAACCTGTCCTGATCAGCCTATCGGCAGGTCCGTCCGTCTTGCATACGTTTATACTCTTAAGTTTATCCTATATTGCGTTATGTAAACTTTTATCAAGATTAATTGTCAAAACCGCGTACTATCAAACCACATATTTCATATCTCGTTTATATTTTATTTTCAAAATCAAACAAAGTTTGAAAAAAATGAAAAATCCTTTTTAGGATTATTCCATATTTTTTATTTATCTTAAATAACCATTTATTACTATTATTCTTATCATCTCTTTTTCTATAATCTTTATATATTATAAATATACAAGATAGATATATGAATGTGATCTCAACAGGAATCAATTTAAGTAAACATACAAATGTAAAAATCGAACCGCACTTTTGAATCAACCAAACAGAATATTAAAATTAATTAAAAAGATATTGACAATTGAAAGTTCTCGAGAAAAAAAAAGACATTTATATACCACATCAAAATTATAGCAAACTTATATAAGCGTGATCCATAAAAGAGAGCTATACTTTCTGTGGATGTAATACAGCGTAAATGTTAATTCAAATCATACACACACTTTCGAATCAACCAATTAGAATATTAAAATTAATAAAAAAAAAAGAAAGAATAATTGATAATTAAAGTAGTTAAGAAGAAAGGCATTTACATTGCATATTAAAATTATAGCAAATTGGTAAAGCGTGATCCATAATAGAAGAGATATACAGTACTTTCCGCGGGTATAACACAGCATCGATAAACTTTTGCAGCATGCACGAGACTATTTCCATTCGTTATCTTGATCTGAATGTGCTGGAAAAGTTTATTGATTACCCCGCGCGACATCCTGCGCACTTTGATCTTTGCATCTACAACGTACTGCACATCCCGCGTTACTCGTAATACATAAATTTGCACATCCGTCCCATTGTGCAGCCGCGCTTAGGCGTGATTAGGCGCGCGTGCACATGTCAGACATTATTCACGATATACCTGCGTGTAGGTCATCCAACAGCAAGGCTCGACCTGATTGGAGTCGAGCCCCCAGAATTCGAGCTCCTCCTCGAAAAGCGGGCCGCAGACATCCGTGGGATAGTGCAGCTTCCCGGTGCGATAGTAGTTGAGTACCTGGGCGAAGACACCCGGGTGCCTGTCAAAGAAGTACTCGTTGAGGATCGGGTCGTAGTTGGCGAGGGCCTCGGTCAGTCTCGAGAGCCTCGTCGCCGGGATCTTCTTCAGGGTCGCCTTGTACGTCTCGTGCCGGATTCCACCCACGTTCAGAACGACGCGGTTCTCCGCGTCCATGTTAATCAAGTTCATTTTGATCACGGCTCTGCTACCGGCCCCGACTCAAAGAAACCCATGTGATCTGCGAACAATTAGCGCTTCCGTAGCGTGATCTAAAATTGGACGAAAAATCGTTTCCATCGCGCAGATTGAATTTATTGATTCTGTTTGATTAACCTTCCGAAAGTTCAATCAAGGCTGATTTAATTCGTGTCCTTTTAAACCGAAAATCGATTATTAATTGAAGGAAAATGAACTTTAAGTCCATTAATTTCAATTTTATTTCGTACAGTGCACGCCTACTGCGATTTTGCGAAAATAAAATGCCAAAATCTGCCGGATTTTTCGCCAATCGAATAATCTCTTTTGTTTCCCCGAAACAGGATTGTTTAGCGTTTTGTTGAAATTTATGTAATAGCTTCTCGCTCATGCGGTTCAATTGCGCAAAATCGATATACATATGTAAAGCGCGTAGCTTATAATCTTATTCTGTTGCATTAAATTCACATCCGTTTGCGACTAGTACTTAAAAGGATTACGCGATCTACGTGAAAGCGTTCTATGCGAAATGATTTTATCGTAATGTATCGCCGATCGGTTACTTTGACACGCTTATAATCGCAATCGGATTACATAGCGCGGCCGACGGAACGCGTGTCATAATGGTGTCATTGCTGCCTCAAATCCTGCTTGTTGCGTACCAAAGACCGGTAGCGGCCGCGCAAAACGGGATACGAATGCTGCTCCACTGCTCCACTTAGCATCACGATAATTGTGACGTTTGACATTTAATCAAAAGCCGGTTACATCGACATCATGCGGCTTAAGAGTATACCTCCGCAAATACTGGCGCCGGAATTGCTCCGGCTCTTTAAATCCCGTGTCTTTGTGAGCACTGTATTCATCCAACTTTCATCTCGTGCTCATTATATAGCGAACAGAAAAAAAAACATGCGGCGCTGTGAGAAAAATAATTGGTGCCAGAAATGTGTACACCGAAGCAGTTAGCGTAGAGAAACATAGGGATTACACAATTGTGATTAAAATATATGTGATACAATTAAAAAAGATTAGATTGAATTAAAAATTTAAATTCACGGAACTTTATCAGAACAATCTATTAAATTCGTATCGCGCAATTAACTCACTTGTCCCATCTTCTTTCACGGTTGCCGCATAATGCACACACATTTTCACATCGCGAATACGACCGTTCGGTTTCCGGACCAATTATTTTTTTGTCGAGTTATTTATACGTAAGCATCCTTCCCGAGCATTTTTCAGTACCTTCCCTTGGCCGTGTAGCATCAATACGTTTGCACCCATATCAATTATGCACGCATGCCTAATGCATCGATAAATCCACTCGACGTGACGTGATGTAACATGGAAGAGCTTCAAAGGTAATATTTTTAGATTATTTTAGCATAAAACTGACGAAGAAGACGCAATTAATAATAATTTTAAAAATTACATACAAATTTTTAGGATTCTACAATGAAAAGTCACAAATCATATTTTTAATTATGAAAAAAAACACATAATAATTTATATTTGTAGTCGAAGAGGGATGCATTAGAATGATGTTAAATAAATTTCTCTATTTTCGCGCGTGTACTTCTTTTTACGCAAATTTAAATTCTGCGGTTTAAATTACTCGCGACAGTGAAATAAAAAAAAAATTCATGATTAGTATTCCGACATTTATCTGTGTAATCGTCCAGCGGGTAAAAGTGGAACCGTATAAAAAAAAGTAGCGCGTAAGTCAAAGGGACAGGCGTATCGGTTTTTCAATCCCGTGTCGCTTTGTATGCCAACTGTGCAAAGTTGTACAGTCGGAAAAGCCAACAATGCGGCTTGTCCCCGTCGGAGCTGTTCGATGATCAAATCACGTGCTCGGGATGCGTCATGTCGAGCGGAGTTACCTGCCGGCGAGAAAGAGAGAGCCGTACATTGTAATCCAACGTGCACTATCAAGCGGTGCATCG